TAATTTTTAAAAATATTTATTTATTTATTTGAGAAAGAGCAGGGGTGGGGAGGAGGAGCAGAGGGAGAGAGTCCCAAGCAAACTCTGTGTTGAGCACAGAGCCCAACATGGGGCTCGATCCCATGACCCCAAGACCATGACCCATGCGGAAACCAAGAGTTGGATGCTCAACTGACTGTGCCACCCAGGTCACAAAGCTTTTATAATAAGATTACTCCCTAGGTTTTGAGAGGCAACAGACTGAACTTTGGTGATTTGGAATGTTTCCTTAAGAAATTAGTCTACCCAAGACGAAGGGAAGAGAGGAAATGAAATTAATAGCAGATGATTTATTTTAACTCATTTTGTTTTATTTTTTTAAGATTTTATTTACTTATTTGAGAGAGAGAATGAGAGAGAGAGAGCATGAGAGAGGGGAGGGTCAGAGGGAGAAGTGGACTCCCCGCTGAGCAGGGAGCCCGATGTGGGACTCGATCCCTGGACTCCAGGATCATGACCTGAGCCGAAGGCAGTCACTTAGCCAATTGAGCCACCCAGGTGCCCTATTTTAACTTATTTTAAATAAACACAGGAAATAAGTAGATTTAAAAATTAAAATAAGTATGAGTACAGGGACTCTCTGCTGGAGATATATAACAATTAACTAAATGTGAGGCAATTTCTGATGTTTTGGCCTTGTGAACTCTGAATTTTATCTAAACTGTGATACTGGGTTGCTGAAGTGCATTGTACAGCTTGAAACTATAGGAACACTTAAGTAAAAGGTAGTGTTGGCTTCCAGTTTCTGTATTTAAATTGAGCATTTATTATTTTTATAGGATTTGATATTTTAGTCCTTTACATGCATTGGAAATTTTTTTGGTCTGTAAAATGTATTCAGCTTGTGATTGTATTTGATCATAAATGACCCTGGTCATGCTTAAGGGCCTTTAGGCTGTCATTGTACACTAGCTCCTTCACTTAAGATGAAGGGAAGAGAGGAATTAAAATCTAGAGCAGATGATTTTGCTTTTTACTTGTAGTTCAAGGGAAAAGGAAGAAAGACTTCGTACATTATATGTGTTAGTTTCATTTTCCATGTCCCTATTCTGATTATCCTGAATAATCAAGAATAACTACGATCCTTATTGTTAGTCGCCCATTTAAACACAAAGCTGGCAATTAGAAAAATGAACACAGCTAGCTTTCCTATTATTTAATGATTTAAATAGACCTTTCAAGTTACACTGGAAAAGTATAAAAAAAAAATCTCTTGACTTGCTTACTTCAGAGATAAAATTTATCAAATAGAATACTGTCATATAATAATGATTTATTGTTGTGAGATATATGTCTAGATTCTAAAGCTAAAAGAACTAGCTATATATTTAGAGGAGGAGTAGAGTAGATAGTGCTGATAAAATACCATGCTCCCAGCCAGTTTTCTTGGCACGGCCATAGGCCTGCTACCCAAAAGCATTGGTTCTATCAGACAATAAAGACTTTCAGAGAAGGGAGGAACTCCTGTTTTATGCAATGGTTAGTTTGATGTGATTGCATTAATGTAGTCATTGAGTTTTAAGTCAATATTCTAATAAAATAACTATAATTATTTTAGTGTAAGAGTTTTTTTAGGAGCTAAAGTTTAGGATGGCATTTTTTCTTTTTTTTTTTTAAGATTTATTTATTTTAGAGAGAGAGAGTGTGCATGGAGGGGAGGGGCAGAGGGAAAGAATCTCAAGCACACACCCCACTGAGTGTACAGCCCAATGTGGGGCTCGATCTCACAACCCTGAAATTATGACCTGAGTCAAAATCAAGAGTTGGATGCTTAACTGACTGAGCCACCCAGGCACCCCTGGGGTGGCATTTTCTATTCTGTTCTATTACTCATTTGCCAAATCTTTTTTTGAATAGCCAAAATGTGCAAGGCACATAATAGAAAGATAAAGATATGGTCCCAGTCCTTGAGTTTAGAGGAGGAAGACATACATATAATTACTATGTATAGCATTGAGAGATGAATGATCTCAGTGCAGTGGGAATTCAGAAATATGGAAGAATTTTTTTGCCTTTGATGGGGATGGGTTTTAGAAAAGGATTCTTACAGAGGAGTCTTACTAGGTGTATTAAAAGGTCACAGTCTAGGCCAGAGAAAGTAGGCATTGTCAGGGAAGGAGTGGCAAATGTACAGGATATGTGCATGTGAAAGGGTATAGTGTCTTTGATTTGGAGTTGCTAGAGGTACTTTCTGAAGGATAGGATATAAAGAATCTCATGCCCCAGGCTAAGGAGATTGGGCTTTATAAATCTGTTGGCAGAGAACTATTGAATATTTTCAACTTTTAGATTGATTTCAGGTTTTCATTTTAGAAACTCATGCTATAGCCATGTAGAAGATGGATTGAGGGGCTAAAATTAGAGGGTGTTGCAGTGTCCAGCCAAAGAAGATAAGGAAATGACAGAAGGTCTGAAGAGAAGAGAACAGATATAAGGAGATAAACTCAACAAGACCTTGTGACTAATTTGTATATAAAGTCTGCAGGAAGAGCAGACAGGTGACGCAGGTTTCTAGTCTACACAGTTGTGTGGGTGATGGTGGCATTAAACAAGGTCCTCACTGGAGGATCCAGTAAGGAAGGCAGGGTGAACATATTTAGTTTGGCGATGCTTACTGAACAGTCCAGTGAGTTGTTGTACATACAAAAATCATCAGTGTATAGGTAGAACTTTAAACTTTGAGGAACAATGGGTATAAAGCAAAAGAATAGCTTAAGAATGGAATAATGGTGAGAAGAGTTTGGAAATGAGAAGCCAATGAAGGAGACTAAAGAGTAGTCAGAGTGTATTGAGAAAACCAAGAGATGTTTGAAAAAGTAGTGTCTTTGGATATGGCATTGTGGGGGAGGTTGACCTTAATTTTAGTGGCAGAGAACAGGGGAAGCCAGATTTGGCAGAGGTGGTGAGAAAGGAAATTGACTATAGATGATTGTCTTAAGTTTGGTCCCGAAGTAAAGAAGAAGTGGCAACTAGGAGAGGTTATAAACCACAAGGTATAGCTTTCTGTTTCTATTTTAATGTTTAAGAGGCAAGAGATTGAGTATATAAATAAAAAACAGCTATCCTGGGGTGCCTAGGTGGCTGTCAGTTAAGTGTCCAACTCTTGATTTCAGCTCAGGTCATGGTCTCAGGGTCATGAGATCCAGCCCTGTGTTGGGCTCTTGTTGAGTGTGGAGCCTGCTTAAGATCCCCTCTCTCCCTTTCCTTTTACCCCTCCCCTCCTGCGTGTGTGCTTTCTCTCTTAAAAAAAAAAGCTATCCTTTTATACAATTTGGCTAGCTTCAAGTATTGATTTCTTTTTATTTGCAGTTTACCTTTAAAAAATAAAATTCTAATATATTACCTATAACAGTATGCTGATTTTTTACCAGTGTAAATCAAGCTTAATTATTGTTGGTAATTCTTTTTAGGAGTATGAAAATGCTGAAAATGCTTCAACTCAGTCAAAGGTTATGAATAAAAAAGATAAAAGAAAGAATCATCAGGGAAAAGACAAACCTCTCACAGTATCACTAAAAGATTTTCAATCTGAAGGTAATATATGTATGAAATCTATTATGCTAGAGGGACTATTTTAAGTCTTTATATACTTAAGTTTTAAGTTCCTTGTTAATTTTTAAAATAAGTAAAAATTGTTTTGTTAATGTGTTACTGAGATTGTGAAAAATGTAGACCTGTTTGGAAAGAAACAATTTGGGGGGTAGTTTAAAAGTAGTCATTAAATCTCCATAAAACTTCAGTACAAATACATCTTTTTGTATCGGAATTTGTCCGTTTTCTAAAACTCACTGAAAATAAAAATTGTATTTGTAGTTTTTGAGTCATCTTGAAACATGATTATTGTCCTTATACATAAAGTGAATGGACTTGCACTAGACCAGGAATAGTATCTTCAGATTTCACCCATTATTGGTCAACCTCTTCAAATTATCTGGAACTACACCTTAGAAAATTAAAATACAAATTTTTAGAGTGAGACTTACTACCAGAAAACTTTATAATATCATTTGTATTTTTTTATTGAACAGAGAAGACAAGGAAACTACACCATTCACCAAACTTTTGAAGACAGACCATAAAGCACATTTTTTTTTGATGTGGGGAATCGTGAAAACCCTAAGTCTATACTGTTAAATATGGTAGCCACTATTCATGTGTGGCGATTTAAATATAAACTGATTAAAATGAACTAAAATAAAAAAATTCATTAGTTGCAATAGCCACATTTCAAATGCTCAGTAACTACATGTGACTAGTAGCTTCCACATTAGATAGCACAGGTATGGAACATGACTATAATTACAGAAAATTTTTTTGGACAGCGTTGTGCTTATGCCAGTCAGAATAGTTGCTGACAAATGAACAGTTGTTTGTTCATTGATAGTGATCTGTTTGATTCATATGAATTAATACATTGGGCATTTGTTCTGTGAGTATTAATACTACAGCAATAATCTAAAAAAAAAAACCCACAATGAAATACTTTACTGTTTTCAGAAGCAAGCCTATTTGTGAAATTAGGAATAAATTTAGAGCATTATATTGCTTTGGTTTAAGGATCAGGATGGTTTTTCCTATAGTCTGCCTCTCTTACTAAGTTTCTTATTTGAGGTTAAAAGAACAGATGTATGTTAGCGTTTTAAATTTTGGCAAGAAAGATTTTATATAAAATATATTTCATTAAAAACTAGGCAGAAACATGAAAAGAATGCTTTTGAAAACTTCTTTATTTTTCATGTTTGATTATAAGTACTATGTAAATTTATTAGATGGATTAAGAAAGACATCAGTATGGTACTGTTAAAGGGAAGGTAGATGACTATTTCAAGACATGATTAAAGCAGTCATGATTCTTTCTCAGGTTCTGGCATTACATTGTATGCTAGACACTAGAAGAATGGCTATGACGTTAGGAATAAAAAGGAAATTAGGAATAATTAGGATTTTGTAGCTTGAGCTGAAACTTGTGATTTTGACATTTATTATACTTACAGACCCTATTCTGATCAACAGATGCTTTAGAGAGCTGGACCAGCTTTTAAATTCTCAGTCATATGATTGCTATTCTATTAAATTATTGTTAGTCTTTGAGAAGAGAAATTTTCTTCTATGCACAAGAAGCAATGTTAAATATTAGATATCCCAGTCATCTCTAATTTAAATAAGAACACTTACTACCTCTATGTACTTTAGTTTCAACCTTGTATCTGTATGGATTCCCTTACGTCTTCCTTTTCCTCATTCTGTAATCCCTTTCCAGAAATGCTGTGTTGTTACTAAGTCAATGATTTGCTTAATCTGGATATATTTCTTATTGCCTTCTTTCTTTTCATTTTATAAATATACATCAATTTTTAAGATTTCTGATAGTATTATTACATCACTATGATGTATATTTTTAAAATAAAGAAACTAAGAGGTTTAAAGGACACAAATTACTATTCTCCTTTTTATTTTTTTCCACAAAAGCAGTGTTCTGTACAATTTTGCAGTTACAGTACCCTGTGATTTGATTTTAGACATACTTGCTTCCCTTTTTGTCCCCCCCCCAAATTGTGTGAAACCAAAGACCTAAATTATTTAGAATTCAAATGTTTAAAATTTAATAATACCCTGTGGTATGGGTGGCATTTACTGGGATATAAGATATAGCCCCTAAGCAGAGCAAATTAGTAATTATATGTTGAAATTTAACATCTTATACCTAGAGAGGGAAATCTGATATCTTAGATAACCCCCAAATGACTTCTGTAACTCTTATTATAATTTTAAAATTCTCAGTTACTTTAAATATTTTTACATATTGGGTATAATAATTATTAATACTAATAAAATATTAATATTGTTAATTTTTTCAATGAATTTTCATCATTTTTTTCATTTACAGATCACATTAGTAAGAAGACTGAGGTAAGTGTTATTGTAACCATCTTTATTCTAGAAAACACTTGATGATTTTAAGAATAACACTTCACTGTTTGGCAGTAAGTCTTTTTTGAGACCTAGCCATTTAAAGGACAACGCATAGATTTGTTGTGAATGAATTTAGTTCTGTCGATCTGGCTATTATAAGGATATAAAATATATTACAGTAGAATAAAAATACCATTTGCATGAAGGAAATATGAAGAAGGTATATTATTTGGGTTTAGTATCCTCATTTAGTATCCTAACCCACACCAAAGATTTACCACATGTAAGCTTAAAATTTTAGGGAAAAGTGGTGTAACACTCCAGTCTTTATTAAAAATATCCTGATATCCTGAAACAAAGTCTCAAGATATTTTGGAATTATGGAAGTTGTGAGATAAGATATGATTCTATAGTTTATAGCTATCGATCATATACTACTCTTAATTCACCATTAGAGGGTAGTGCTCCCTACACATAACTTCCTAGGGCTATTGATAACTTTTTTTTTTTTAAGCCTCCAGTACCAGATTCTACAAATCTTTTAGAATTGGGAGGTACTACTATAAAATATCTTCTAGTATTGAAGAAGGTACTAATAAAATGTTAGGAGTTATTTTGACTACTAATTTGAAAGTTTCCCTATTATATTATGTGTATATTCTTGTTAGTAATTCCATCAGTTGATTTTTTGAATGGTCAGAGATGTTCCTTGTTTTCACGTTGTAATACATATATGGTTTTTGACCAGTTTTGATGTTGTTTCAAGTATTTGCTTGATAGGTCAGGAAAATGAAATCATCTCTAGGAAACCACATATAAATAACTCTGTGTCTATAGTCCTTAACTATGCACACAAGCACAAAATTGATTTGTTAAAATGGATGGTGGAAATTCTTTTTATTTAAAAACTACTGTCACCATTTTTTAGATTAAAATTTAAATGACCACAAATATAGTCTGAGTATTCATTTTATGTTTGAAGCGGAAAACAAGTACTTTTGGACTGATTCCATTTTTTTAATCCATTGACTTACTTGGAGGATAGGTTTATGCAAATAAGAAAGCAGATACAAATGGTACACCCTATTCCTAAGAGACTACCAGCAACTGTTAGTGAAGGGAAAAATAATTTTTATAAACTGTTTCATGCTTTTCCTTCTTTCCTGATTTGAAAGAGGAAAAAAAATTCAGACTGACAGGATCTCATGTATTTAATATATTCCATCCAAGTTGTATTTAAACAAGCATAGGTAGGTGACACAGCATATATTTTGTCTTTTATTATAGTTCTAGAGCTGTGTTCTGATTGTCTTCTGTTAATAATTTGATATGTAATAAAATTCACTTTGAATGATCCTAATTATTAAGACATTTTCTACTTTTGTAAATGCAGTCTAATTAGAATTTATTTCCTACATAACTACTTTAAGAAATTGGTCAAAAGAACATGTAATTCACATTATCCTTGATACTTGTTAAAAATATACCAAAGTTATGTTCCATTTCATTAGAGGTGTCACTTTGTTGGGACTTGAATATTTAAGTGTTGTAGCATTTATGCCATCACTCTAGGAATCTAGAAGAGCTTTTTCAGAGAGTTCAAAAATAAATCTGAAAAAAATGTCTGATTTCAAGTCTAAAATGAGATATGCTTTCTACTTCTAAAAGTATACAAGTCTTTGTTACATATGTATGCTCAGTAATTGACTTATTTTTCCATCTCTAACTTAAGCCAAGAGATGTTTTTCCCCCATGGGAACTTTAAAATTCCTAACCTCTCTTGAGAACAGTATGCATCTCATCCATTCCTTCTTAAATCAGGTATTTACTGGATAAAATTCAAAAGAGAAAAGTTTTTTTACTTTATTGCTAGGTGATGAGGAGTACTTGAACTTCCTGTATATTCCTCTAACTGCCATCTAAACTTGTTCTCAGGTTGATTTCATCATTCCCCTTTTTCTTTCTCCATCCATCTTGATTATGTTATTAATCTCCATGCTTTCTTTGTAATCTCTCTCACCTTGAAATGATTAGAATAAAATTGACATTTGCAGGAGTAGAGGATGGGAACAATTAATTTTTCTTCCTTAAATGACCAGGAAGTGTTGGTTGCCACTGCTACACCAGTCCCCTACCCATTCTTCAGTATAGTCAAGAACATCCCATAAGAATTCTAGACAAGAAGAATGAATAAAGAATAGGTGCTTGTATATTCCTCTTAGAAACCTTAACTGATCATGCCTTTTAAGGAGCATTATTTGATCCTTAAAGTTGTTTTTAATTTTCACGTGTTGCCTTTTTAAACACTGGTGCTGCAGGTTGGAGTATCTCATAGGTACTGCTTCCTCTTTAGCTCCACTTTTATCTTGCCTTCCCAGCCCCAGTCCTTCTAGTACCATTCAATAGCTTTAAAATTTTTAGTGATCATCCTATGTCTTAAAGTCTAAAAGGTCAAGTCTTCAATATGCTTGAATAGACTATCTCTAGAAGAGTACCCAAGAAGTTGTAACAGTGGTTGTCAAAGGGTGGGGGAGGAGGGCTTATTGGGATAGGAGAGAGGCTGCTTTTCACAATGTAAATTTTGAAGTTTTCTATTATGTCTATGTACTGTGTATTTAAAAATTACATCAAAAATAAAAAGCACTGGGTGAGAGAGGGAACGGGGGAACAAACCTGGTCTTATCTGGCTCCATACCCTAGTTCCTTTTTTTGCACAATGCTTCCTGCATGTCTACCTTAGATATATGAGCTTGGATGAATAACTTATTCATTTAGGTCCTCATTATATTAGCTGAAAAGTAAGGTTGACTCTGTTGATTTCTAAAATTATGATAAATTATCAGTGTGCAATTAAATATTATATGCTAAAAATTGAACCCTATAGTTAACTCTACCAAGATACAGGAGAACAGCAATAATAGCCCATTAAATTTTAAAAGCAAATAAAATCTCACCTAAAATCTAGCTTTTCCTAAGCAACTCAGCCTGTTTCCTACTCCTCAATGTCCTGAACTCATTTTTGTTCCCATGCCTTTCCTTATTTGTGTTTATTATATTTGTTAACCCTCTTATGTTGTAAGTAAGAGACGCCCAACTCAATCCAACATAAGCAAGACATTTTCTACTTTTGTAAATGCAGATGCTTATTTGGGTGGTATAACAAACGAGGAAGGATAGGGAAAGAGCTGGCCTTATAGTTGACTGGATCCAGGGATTTATATAGGTTTAGGATTCTTCATTTCTCTCACAAGTCTCAGTTGCTATCTAAGGCTTCACCTCCTGACAGATCGAATGGTTACTAGGGGATCTTGAGGTTACATCCTTATAGGATTTCCTATAAATTGTTAATTAGCTTTTGAGTCTTGATAGGTTAAAGTTCAGTTTTTCTTTGAGGAGATGAGGGAAGCAAGAATATTGCCTACATGGTGTGATATGCTTTCTATCATATCACATTAGGGGACATAGAATGGTTATTTTTATGATAAAATTGATCTCCTTAAAGAAATGGCTATTACTAACATAAATGATCACATAAATGTATAAAAGACAAGAGACAAATCTCCTTTACAGAAAATTCCAAATAATTTATGTAGCTATTCCCCTTCCAGGAGAGGGAGCTTAACTCCTTCCACTCTTCTTGAGTATGGGTTGTGCTTGGTAACTTGCTCCCAAAGAGTAGAGTACAGAAAGAGGGAGGGAAATTAGTTTTACACTGTAGAAATCTGGGAAACACAACCTTGACCAGGTGATCAATATTAATATTATTAGTGATATATCATGTTGATAGCACATAACCTTGATACGATGTGATAAGAATGGCCTATACTTCTGTGGTTCCCAGCCCCCCATCCCAAATCACATAAACCCGGTCAAACCATGATAAAAACATCAGACAAATCCAAATTAAGGGCCACTCTACAAAATACCTGACCTGAATAACTCAAAACTTTCAAGGTCATCAAAAACTAAGTCTGAGAATTTGTCATGGACAGAGAAGGCTAAGGAGAAATGATAAATGTAATATATATCCTGGTTGGAATCTTGGAATAGGAAAAGAACATTAGGGGAAAACTAGTGTAATGTGAATGAAATGTAGAATCTAGTTATAGTATTGTATCAGTGTTGGTCCTTTAGTGGTAAAACATACTATAATAATATAAGATGTTATCAATAGGGGAAATGGGGTGAGCGATATGTGGAAACTGTCATCCAAAACTTTTCTGTAAATCTAAGAGTATTCTAAAGTTAAAAGTTTATTTAAAAATTTGATCAATGGGTTCAGATGTTGTCAACCATTATAAAGTTTCCCCTCAGAGTTGCACTCAGTGCCTTTTGTAGCTATTAATGATGATTTCCTTTATCCATTATTTTTTTAGAGTATGTTCTTCATTAAACTTAAATTTTTACTTCAAGAATACATGCATATAATAGTAATTGAATGGTAGAGGAGAGTTTATGAAACCAATAGTCTCCCAGCTATTTCCCTTCCCTTACTACTTTTGAAAAAATCTTTCTCATATTTCACGATTGACCTGCATCAAGCCATGGAAAAGTGTTTAGAGTTTTTCGGAACACACTGTGTTTTTTCATGCTACCTTGTCTACCTATGTATTCTTCTCTTCCATCTTTTTCAGTGGTGTCTTGTGAATGAATAGTTGTTAGTTCTTCTGAGAGAGGGAGCGAAGTCAGGAACAATCTAAGTTGCCATCTAGGTGATGTCACTCTTCTGCCATCTTTATTTGCCTAAACTAATGCTTCAGAACTTGGCTAAAGAGTCATTTTTTTCTGGTCTCAGTTAGATGCCCAGAATATTCTGTATATACTTCATAGCACTCAACACTGTTATCATTGTTTCGCTTCTTTAGAATTTGAGTTCCGGGGCGCCTGGGTGGCTTAGTCGGTTAAGCGTCTGCCTTCGGCTCAGGTCATAATCCCAGGGTCCTGGGATCAAGCCCCGTATTTGGCTCCTGGCTCGGTGGGGAGCCTGCTTCTCCCTC